GTGTGTGTGTGTGTGTGTGTGTGTGTGTGTGTGTGTGTGTGTGTGTGAGAGAGAGAGAGAGAGAGAGAGATGGAAGAGGCCAAGTGGATTGAGAGATGACCTCAAAACAAGGAAGACCTGAATTCATGCCCTGCTTCTGACACATACTGGCTTTATGACCCTGGGCAAGTCATGTAATCTCTATGTTCTAGGCACCTCTCTAAGAATATAAATTGCAGAGATTGTGCCTAATTGCATTGATTGGTAGAGAAAGTTTCTTGGCCAGGGAGTCTTCCTGTGCCAGTAAAATCATGAGTCTAGTCCTTACCCTCATATATAAGGTCTCTATGTCTGTGTGTATGTGTTTGTATATTTTGTAATGCTCTCACCTGCCCCTCTTCTGCCATAATTACAAGTGTCACAAGGAACAAAGTCCCAGTATATGAGAAAAGAACCCTTGGTCCTTTGTGCCTTCTGATTATGAGAGAATTGCTAACCATTGTTGTTTATGGGATAGATAATCCAGTCTGAAAGCAGTGAGGCATCCTAGGGAAAAAACAGAAAAGTTTGTGCTTGGCAAGTGAAACCACCACCATCTTGACCACCATCTCCCCTTAAACCATGATAAGGTGAGCCTAGGACTCTGAACTCAAGAACTTTGGGAATAGCAATGTCCCATAAATCACCAGACCTGCTTCTAGCCTGGCCCCACAGCCATCATTTACGGCAGGAATAATTGTAGAAAAGGTGCTCATCTTCCTCATCACCACCAGCAACAACTTCTAACCATCTGATACCAACAGTCAAAGAGGTATAGGAGCCCTGGTAGTATCAGTATCCTCCCAGACAGCCCAGCCCTCAACAGCACTATCAAATGTCTGAGCATCAGAAATCACATGATTTTATTAGTGGAAATGCCATTAAAAAGGCTTTACCCCTGCTTTGCCACTGTGCCCTAGGGATCATGGAACTTTTCTTGACTCACAGCTGAAACCTTCCATATGTTTTGTCTCCCTTATTAGAAGGTGAGCTCTCATGAGAGCAGGAATGTCTGAATTTTCTGTTTATGTTCTTGGTGCTCAGCACAGTGCTTTGTACATGGTAAGCACTTGATAAATACTTCATTCATTCATTCATTCATTCATTCAGGTAGACATACCTTTCTCTCTATAACCCCTAGCGCACACAACATCCACATAATCCTGATAAAGAATTTTATCACTTCTGTGTGATAGATGGTAGGCAATGGTAGGCAATTGTAGACAGCAGGTGAGACCACTTTTGACTTTACTTGGGTGTGCCTTGGGTCTCAGAAGAAGCTTTCTTGCAGAACCTTCTGAATGTTGAATAGTAGAAATGAATAAGGAATTCCTTATTTATTGCCTTGCCCTAACACCCACAGTGTTCTTCTGATATGAGTAGGTGGTAGGTATATCTCTATACATAATCTCTGTATAGTCTGTTTTCTAATTTACCCATTTCCCTCTGCTTTCCCAGTAGCCTTGACCTTTTATTTTCACTCCTCTTATTTCCTCTTCCTACACTAACCCTTGGCTTCTTCTGCTTACCTAGCTTTTCCTTTTACCACCCACCTCTAGAAGTGAATTAAATGTGAGCTAATATTTCTGGAGTCTGGTACTGACAACAGTAGAGGCCTAATTGATACCAGTTAAACCACCTCCACCAGGATCTGAAGAATGGAAATCACACATATTGTGGCTGAGTTCCTAGAACCTAGTCTGATATACATTTGTACTCTACATTTATTCAGTACCAAGAGGATATAAATTCTTTTAGTTTAAGACCGCGTCATTTTGAAGCTGTATATTCTTCTAGGAGACTCCACATGTGGACTTGGCTATAAAACAGCCAGACTTGTACTGTTTAGAAAGAGGTGGAAAGTACTTCGAAGAAAAAGGCCAGTCTTTTCTGTTATCTGTCCATGCTTTGGTTGATGACTGGGCCTAACTTATAACTAGTCTGTTTTCTGGATTGTTGTCTTTTGTAAGCAGTGGATTTCCTTTTTGTGCTTTGTGTTTGACCTTCAGACTAAGCAACATATTTAAAAAATGGGTCTTTTATAAGAATTTTCTTCTCCAGGTCATTCTATAACCATAGCAATGAGTAGAGGGCCCTTTAGAAAGCTACAGTTATCCCTTCTGCATCTCAGGGGTAAGGGGCGCTGTGCCCCCATGATCTGGAAAATCCACATAAAAATTTTTGGCACTTCCTTTGTACCAGAGAAGAAGTCTGAATTTTTTCTTTTTCTTTTACAAGGTGTTTATAGCACCTTATTGTAAAATTTGGGTTATTATACTATACATTTATTTTATGTATTTCTGAGATTCTAAACTTGTTGTCCACTGGCCTTTGTGTGTCATTTGACGCATCTACAAAACTACCAAAAAACTCCCATTTAATTTCTTGTGCCAACCTGCAATATATTGAAACTACAATGGGGAAAGTCTGGATGTAGAAGGGATAACTGTATAAAACACTTTCAGTCAATGGAACACAATTTTGTGCAGTTACCAAATACATTCTGTTTTCTGTGCCATATTGGACAGAGCACCAGATGTGGAGTCAAAAACCTGGGCCAAGTCTTGCCTCTGACACTTATTTTTCCTGGGTGATCTATGGCAAGTCACTGTTTCTCAGTTTCCCCATTTGTAAAATGAGGTCCTTTCTAGTTCTGAAATACTATGTCTCCTAGAAAGTTACCCTCTGACATAAGTTCTTCAATCTACCAACACTGTCCTTCTGGCCTTTTCAGGAAAGAGATATTCCAATCACTCAGCTCCTAGCATTTTCTCTAGCTGGAACACTCCCTCCTCTGCACTGCGTACTGACTTCCCTGGCTTCTGTTAAGTCCCAACTGTAAAATCCCTTCTTTTACTGGAAGCCTTCCCCAACTCCTCCTAATTCTAGTGCCTTTTCTCTCTTAATTATTTCATATTTTTCCTGCATTTTGCTTGCTTTGTAAATATTTGTTTGCGTGTTATCTCCCCCATTAGATTGTAAGCTCCTTGAGAGCAGCAACAATCTTTTGCCTCTTTTTGTATCCCCAGCTCTTAGCACAGTGCCCAGCACATAGTAGGTACTTAATAATGTTTGATGATTGATTGCAAGCACTGGGAATATTGACTTCATTATAAATTACTTTGTTGCTGTTGGTGAGCAGGATGGAAGGTGCTAGGGAATGATAATGAGCCAGTAGCCTCTCTCTGATCATTCTAAGAATTTCTTTTCTGTGCTTTTCTCTGAAAGGCAGGGTGCAGCAGTCACCTGCATTGTGTTTGTTTCCTCATTGTGTACAAAGTCCTAAACTAAACTGTGGGTGATATGAAATAAACAGTCAATTAAGGTCAGTCTGGTTGGAAATTCAGGACCAATGTTTGTAGGGGAAAAAACAGAATACTTGGAGAGCAGTCTATAAAAAGACACAAATTAGTTTAGTGCAAACAGGGGTATGTAGTGAGGAGTCATGGAGTCATTCGATGTGGGTAAGGTTATCCAACGAACGCATCATTCTTGTTCTTGTTTATTATTCTCCTCTATGAAGATAGGGACTATGGATTAATTCTCCAATGGCTTAATATAAGTTTGTTGAATGAATGTTTTTTGAATAATGAAATATTGTTGTCAAATGAAAAAATGGGTCTGTATAAAATTCTGACACTCATGCAATATGTGTGGATAAACTTTGTAATCATGTGTTCTGAGTTAGTTTAAATTTCATAGATAGTTCAAATTTAAAACCTTGAAATTCATTAGCATCTTAGCTTCCAGGAATATGAATGAAGAAGGTTAGACCAGCTGCTATCTAAGGGATTTTCTTGTTCTAAGTCCATAGACTTAGATTTCAGTCGTTTTTCCCAGGGTTTTTTGTTTTGTTTTGTTTTGTTTTTGGTGTAGGCTTATAGTCTTTATGAATAGATGCTGACTAATTCTGTGCTCGCTTATACCACCTTGTTTTATAGCCTCAGCACTTTGGAGTTTGACCTGATCAGTACCTACTTTACTTGGTTTTTGTGATGCTTAATGAGCTAATGTTTGTGAAGTCCTTTGCAAACCTTAAAGCTTATTGTAAATGTCAGTAATGAGAATTATTATTAACCATTAAGTCCTCATTGAATGTTGTGTTATTGTGTTCTTTTTTTGGCTCTCAGTGGAGGTCTCTGATTCAGAAAGTGAGGATTCAGGAGAAGAAAAGAATGATCAAGAGCTGCCATACTCTGTGACATGTCCAACCCCTTGATCCAGTCCATGCAACATGTACAAGGTAAGAGGTGCCTTTTGCACTAAGTACACATGCCTTCATTTCCTTGTGCTCCTTTGATCTTCCTAAGATAGAAATGATTTTCCAGGGTGTGAAGATTTTGTTCTTCCTATTAGAGATCTTTGGGTGAGAAGAATGTTCTTTGATTTGTATTTGCCAGGTCAGCAGTCCTTATGTTAGGACACGACCAGGCAGACAGTGGCCTATCTGAATTGATACCTTGGCGGGAACCATTGACACAAATCACAGATGTACTGTGTACTTTCTGGTGCCTCTTAAGAGCAGTGGCAGGATAGTGATAAGCAGAGATTTTTATGTGAATAGAACAGCACTTCTAAAGGTCTTCTTGGTTAGGGTACTTCACTTCTTTAGATATGGTGACTGTCTGTGGGGGATGGACAGTTAAGTCATTTCACCATGACTGACCCTTAAGCCTCTTTGGGACAGCAGTAAGACTTTGAAACCTCAGGGGTTTAGCTGTTTAGACTTTGCAAAACTAATTTCAATAACTCAGTCAATCAACAAGAATTTATTAAGCACCTATTGCCTACAGTCACTTTTATAGATGCGCAAATAAAACAGCTCCTGTGGTCAAGGAGCTTACATCCTAATTTAACTAAGACACTACCTCTGAAATTTCTTGTTAACCATGAAAAGGGTCATTTTCAAGTGTCCCTTGTGATTTCTCAGACAGTCTTATTTGCTGAGTCTTCTGAAGTGCCAGGAAAGCCATATGTTTTTTGCTTGAATGTTTTTGAAAAGATGAGAGAGACACTGAAACCATAGCACTGTATGATCAGTGATTACATTGCCTTTCTCTTGACACAGGTTTCTTATGAAGTGTTAGGTAGAAAGAGCAAGTTCTGGTCCCAGTTCTTGGAGGAACTTTGGTGATGAATTCTTTCTCTAGCTTCAAGACATTTAACTCTAAACAGCCTCTTCTTAACTCCCTGTTGAAATACCAGAAGCTTTGACAGCCAATTCCGCAGAGGGTCTTGGCAGGAGCCCTCCATTACAAATCTTGTCCTTTATTGCTTAAGAGATTTGTGTACTGAAAAGCAAAGGGAGCACTTCGGAAGAATCCTGAACAACTCAGTTCAGTGTGTCAGCTTCCTCTGAGTAGCTCCAGAGCAGCTCAGACTCTGATGTCAGGGATCTCTGTTGACAAACAGCCGGAAACCAGACTCCTCAGAAATGTTATCAAGGAGTCTAGGTGGGTGTACTCCTGTATCCCAGGAAGCTGAGTGGCAAAGTGGGTGTCTTTTTTCAGCAAAATGTGATGTCTTTTGTAGGCAGGAATCTTTTATGACTTTTTTTTGGCAGGGAGCAGAAACTGAGAGGAGGTTTTTGAAACTGTTCTGAAGATGCCTTTAGGTCACAATATTGGAAAAAATCTTTATGAGATAGCTCTGCCTGGTGTGTGCATGTACACACACAGACACAACAAACAAAACAGCAGTAAAGATGACATCCGAGAGAAATATTCCATAATTAGAAGCATGTTAGCCAGAATATAAAGTAGCTATATAACTTAATTATGCAAGTGGTATCCCTTGATTTTAAAAAAAATAGGTTTATTACTAAAAAGTTGGGAACATTTGTAGATTTACCGTAAATGTGCATTATGTAACCAGAATGGCTGTTTCCCTACCCATACCAGCCCAGCTTCACTGTTGTCATCTGAACAATGTTCTACTCTGTTACAAATGCTTTTTCAGGAGATTTCCACTGAAGAAGCAAACCAACCAGTGATGCTAAAAGCAAAAGCCTTTGTTATAGGCTTATTTTACCTCATACAAAGAAAGGCACTTAACTTCAGAGCCCAAAGAGACGTGAGGAAGAGAATAAGGGGAGATGGGGCAAGGAGTCATGAGGAATCACAGTTACTCAAGAGACAATGAGAACTCTAGGGGGACAGGATTACACTTTAGGGAGTTCACACCTTGGGTACATGGTCAAAAGGCCCCCCACCTGCCCAAGCTAATAAAAAGGCTCTCAGTTACCACTTCAGTTCTGTGTGGGATACTTGAGTATGCATCTGTTTGGTTTTCCCCATGCCAGAGTCAGGGTGGCTCCCATCAGTGAGGTTGCTTGTGAGATGAAAATTTCTAGAATGGAAGGTCGCAGCAAAATCTAGAAGAGGGGAGTCAGTGCTGTGAAGGAGAAAGGGACTTAGCAAGAATGAAGAGACAGCCTGCTGTAAGAAAAAAACCAGGCTTTGGGGGCTAATACAGAGACTTTTAATGAAAAACGTTGTTACAATGAGATCTGGCCCCATGGTTTTGGTAGAACTGAAAGGCTGTCTTTTGCAAATACAAAGTAAGACAGAATTCATTATAGTTGAATTGGGAAACCCTGACTGCTTTTCTGAATGTTATATTTGGCTGGCTCTGACTGTATTTAGCTATACAGGTAGCCAGCTGGTTTTGGTAGAGGCAGCAAAGGCAAGATGTCATTACTCACAAAATCACAAATTCTGGTTTCTATTCTTACAGCTATTTGTAGGGCAACTGGGAGGATGGTATATGAGAAAAATTAATGATTGAGAATCCAGGAAATGTAATTTCCCCCCTTCTTTGTGAATGTCTTCATAATGAATTTGCATGTTAACTAGTTTACCAGAATGTTGTAGGAGAAGAGCATTGCACTTAGAGTGAAAATACCTGGATTAGAGTTCGACCTCAAATACTAGCTATGTGACTCTGAAGCAGGTTATTTACCCTTTCAGAGCTTAGAACACATCAATTTCAATATTATCGATTCTGAGAGTACAATGCCCTTGTTATATAAGGAAAATGAATATATTTCCAGGTTTGGCTTATTACATACATATGTGTCTTGTGATATAAGAAAGAAAAGAATTGTGGTACTTTGTATTCTTAAAAAAATGTTACAGCTAAATTGTAGGCCATTAAAAAAAAAAAAAAAGGATGAGACTTTTCCCAGGAATACAGTATGAGCTTAAAGTGATGAAATATTTTTGCTTATTCAGTATATAACATCAAGAAAACAATTCTAGCACATTAATACTATATTTTTTAGAAAACATGTCTTTAGAAGAGTACTGTTACCTGCCTCTCAAACTTTACACTTAATTACTTAACAGTTGAATTTTCTCTTGAAGGTGTATAACATGGCATGTGTTGCCTTGAGTTTGAGGACAGTTTTCTCCACTCAACTGAATCCAGAACCATTCCCCACCCCCAGTAAAAGTGAATGCTCTTAAGAGCTAAGTCATAAGGAGATGCTTTCCTATTACAGGCAAATGAAGTTGAGTCAGACTTTTTCTTTTGGCTAAGGGCTGTTGCATCAAATGAAGTAAGATAAAATCTCTTCTTGTGACTTAAAGGTGGATGGATGTCACTGCATTGCTCAGAATCTATTTTTTTAAATCCCTCTTCCCAGAATTTTTTCCATTGTTTAGAATCATATTTTTAATGCAAGGTTCAAAGCAGTTCACCTTTTCAGGTGAAAAGTGTGGTATAATGACAGAGTACTAGAATTGGAGTAAGAATGCCTACATTTGAATCCTAGTTCCAACACTTATTAGCCAGTCAGTTCATTTCTCTGGGCCTTCATTTTCTCATCTGTAAAATGGATATGGTATTACTTGCACCATCTTTGTCATAGGGTTGTCATAAATAAAGTATTTCGTAAAGAACTGCTGATAGCAGTAATAACTCCAGATAACCAATTACTAACAACTTCGTCTTCTTTCAGATTTCTCTTTCACCTTCCTTACTTAGTGATAAAATCAGGTAGTCATCTTGATTTCTCTTTCACGTGCTCCAAAAAAAAAAAATGCTACCTATAAACTAAATCAGCCAGCATTTGTTAATTATCTGCTTTCGATAAGGGTCCAAGAATAAAAAGACAGAAAGGAAATTGTGCTTCTCCTCAAAGAACTTACACACTATAATAGTGATAATGGTACAAATGAATATGAATGTGGGTTATTAAAGCATTTATATCCCTTAAACATTTTTTCTGGGAAACCAGGATCAGCGTGTAAAACATTTTCTTCCATTGCACATTCAGGTTGGCAGAGCTGCCCTGCACCATTTAAAATATAGCTAAATAGCTAGATCTTTCCAAAGTGAACCTTTGTCTTTCCCACTCTACCCTTTGTTTCAGTGAGGGAGAAGGCCTCAAAATCAGCTCTTTGTTTATTCCTCTGTTGTAATTGGTTCCAAAGGGAATGACCAGGTTGCAAGTTATAGAAGGAAAAATTTTCATGACTCATAGACAAAACTTTCTCAGTAAATTTCAATGATCATCTGCTGTAGAACTCCACATTTTTGGTGCTGCTGCAAAAATGTGTCACTTTGTATGAGGAAAAATAAACAGCTGTGACTTTCTTGTGCATTAGTTTTATCAACAATTCTAAAATGCCAAAGCAATTCATAATATGATTTACATTTATACTTATACTAGTCACTTAATTTGTCCATCAAGCACTGTGTGTAAGGCACTGTCCTAAGCAACAGAGCTTATATAAAGACATGAGAATGCATGTTTTTTGATAATTGTAATATAGAGTTGTGAAGTGTAATAAAAGAAGTACAGACCAAGTATTATGGGAAATCATAGGATGGAGTAATTACTCATACATAGCTGGGGATAAGGGAAGGGGGGAATTAAGGAAGGTAATGAAGGAGGTGGCATCTGAGCTGGGCCTTGGAGTAAGATTTCAACAGACAGAAACAGGAGGAAAGAGCATTCTAGGTGGAGGGAACAGCGTAACCAATGCTCCCTGAACTGTGGTCATCATTCTTACCTTTTTTTTTTTTTTTGTAGGGAAATGACATGGCTACTTGTAGGGGATGTTGTTAATGGAATTTGTACATTGAGTAGGATTAGACTAGATGTCCTCTGAGGTCCCTTCCAACTTTGAGAACCTATGGTAGGTTTGTGCACCAGAAAGAATGAGGTGACAGTAACAGTGGGTTAGATTGGACAGGATAAAGACTAGAGGTGGAAAATCTGATTAAAAGGGGATTGCA